AATGCGCCCTGCCTCACGTTCTTCGACCCAACCAAGCCCACGGTCATCAGCGCTGATGCCAGCAGTTACGGCTTGGGAGCTGTCCTATTGCAGGAGCATGACGACGGAATGCGCCCCATTGCATTTGCCTCACGCAGCCTCACCACTACTGAGCAACAGTACGCGCAGATCGAGAAGGAGTGCTTGGCTGTTGTCTGGGCTTGTGAGCGATTCCACGGCTACATTTACGGCAACTCGTCCCTCACTGTCCAGACGGATCACAAACCACTCATCCCGCTGATCAATACGCGTGATTTGAACCGTGTCCCGATGCGATGTCAACGCCTCCTGATGCGCCTGCTCACGTACAATCCAGCCGCCGTGTATGTCCCTGGCAAAGAGCTAGTTGTTGCCGATGCTCTGTCTCGCGCTCCGCTCGCCTGTGACGACACGCCTAGTCTCCAAGACGAGATCAGCATCAACCTCGCATCTTACATCGGCGAGATCGTGTCGGATGGTAAAGCCCGTGACATTGCTGACGCCACCACACAAGATGAGACGCTCAAGCAAGTCCTCCACTTCGTCCAACACGGATGGCCGTGCAACCCACGTGATGTCGACGACACTGTGCGCCCATACTTCCATGAACGCCAGTTACTGTCCTGTGAGCAAGGTGTGCTGTACCATGGCTTCCGCATTGTCATGCCACCCTCTCTGCAGCCTGAGATGCTCGAGAAGCTCCACGAGGGACATCAAGGTGCAACGAAGTGCAAGTCTCGCGCCCGCCATTCCATTTGGTGGCCAGGCTTGTCAAGGCAAATCGACACGATGGTCGCTACGTGTGAAGTGTGCACCAAACACCGCGTCCAGTCGACCGAACCACTGCAACCCGTCCAACGCCCAACACTGCCGTGGCACACGGTTGGTGCAGATCTGATGGAATTCAACGGCACGACTTACCTCGTCATTGTTGACTATCTCTCGCGTTACCTCGATGTCGTACCGCTGACTGCCACAACCTCGATTGCTGTCATCAAGCATCTGCACCGCATCTGTGCCGAGCATGGTTTCCCGTCCACCTTGGTTACAGATAACGGTCCTCAGTTTGCCAGCGAAGCGTTTACTGAGTTCTGCACAGCAAACGACATCACCCATCGCACTTCCAGTCCACGGTATCCTCAGTCGAATGGCGAAGCGGAACGTGCAGTTCGCACCGCCAAGAATCTCCTGCGGAAGGCCGAAAGCCTGCAAGATGCACTCTTGGCTTACCGCACGACACCGCTGAGCAACGGCTATGCCCCATGTCAGCTGTTGTATGGCCGCCAGCTCCGTACCGGTCTACCTGCAACGACTGAACAGCTGGAACCGAAATGGCCTGATCTCCCTAGTATTCTGGAATCGGAAAATCAGTCCCAGGAACAGCAGAAGTTGCACTACGACCAACGGCATGCAGCTAAGCCTCTCGCGACTCTACAGCTTCATGACCGTGTATTCATCACCGATCTCGAACGGGAGGGCAAGATAGTAGAGCAAGTGTCCAATCGTTCTTACCTCGTTGAGTCTGGTCACTCTACTGTTCGCCGCAATCGTCGTCACTTGATCCGACTGCCACTGCTAGAAGCAGAGAAGCCGACAGTCGAGGTTGAGTACGGTGGCACAGCAGCTGATCCAGTCCGTCGCTCTGCTAGAGCTCCTCAGCCTGTCAACCGCCTCATTGAATCATGCTAATTCAGCAACGTGCCGAGACGTATCTGCCGTCGTCTCTGCACATCACTCTTTCACTGCAACTTGCTCTACAAGCAATACCTACATTATCGAATAGTCTTTGGACTCCTCATCTTCTCTATTATAGCCTGTTTAATCTCAGAGGGGAGATGTAGTGGATGCACATCCCACTGTTTGTCATTGTGTCCTTTTATGTAACATGTATGCATTCATCCGGCCGCGCTGTGCGACATGCCAGTTGTACCGTACGCACTTTAGCTGTACTTGCCTGCCTGGCTTTTCCTTTGATCTCTCTGTCGTTCTCTGTATTCCCACACACTTGTGATTTGTAGTAACGAAGCTAGTTACAAGATGTCTTTGGTGCGTTTGTAGAACCACTACAGTGTCCATCACTTGCTGATGACACAAAGGTCATCGTGGACCGATACAGAGACCTGCTGTCGGCATACTCCAAGTGTATGTTCAGCCACTGCAGTTACATGACGGACGAAGAAATCACCTCATTGCAGTCGAACATCGAGGCGTTCATGAAGCTGTGTTGCGAGCACGTCGTCAGCAGACAGCTTGGGCACATAACTCCAAAACTGCACCTCATTGAGTCTCACATAGTTTCGTCCATCAAGCGTCTCCGTGTCGGACTGGGCTGTTTGGCTGAGCAAGGTAGCGAGAGCATACATGCCAAATTCAACACGCTCCAGCGCGACTACGCCTCCATGCCGAACAAACTGGATCGGTTGAAGGCTGTCACCATGCAGCATCTCGTGTCAACGCTGCCCCAGCGTGAAGCCTTGCATCCAGCACCAAAGAAGAGAAGAGCTACAAGTCAGTCCTAGCCAGGTGAGTAATACTAATAGTTTGATATTCGTTTCTTCTCCACTTTTCTTCATTGTTTCGTTCAGGCAAATATCAACTGCGGAGAGTATTTATAGCTTGTAAAGATAGAAAATTAATGCCCGTCAACAACTATCGTTCTCTCTCTCCCTAGGCCCTGTCTAGATGTAGCTCTTGCCGTCAACTGTCGACATGTTCTTTCTCTCTCGAAATATTTCTTTCTTCAATAAGATCATCTCGATCGAGGAGATCGGGCTCTACAAGCTTCATTTCAAATTTTTCATGCCACGCGGCGCGGCCAAGGCGGCTGTACCGCGCTTTACTTCGGTTTCGGCGTAGAAATGACAGAAACGAAACAGTTTTACAGCATTCGGCGAGTGTTTCAAAATCCGTACAGTGAACGCGGTCAAATGCCGCCATATTTATAAATGCATCGAGTCACGAGTGCGACAGCCGTACACCACGGTCTGCCGAATATGGACTTTCTACGAGAAATGGGTATGTGTACGATGTCCATGCAATAAAAAATACGTGGCAGAGATAGTCATTGTCATTGACTCCGTACCGTATACCATGGTACCAGACCACATGTCCACTTCCGGAATTCCCTCATGTTTTCAGCCAACGTAGAGCTTGCTCTGTCTGTCATCATGGTCATGTGTGACCATTACACTCTTGGTACGAGTCGTACCGCTGGAGAGGCACCAGTCTGGCCGCCACAGATCCTCGAAGTGGAACCCCAGTGCATGTGTGACAAGCAGGGAGTAGAACAATACTGGTCTTGTGCTACTCCCTGGTGACAAGGCCCATTCTTGGATTTTTTAACTAGCAAACGGCCCTACCAATAATCAAGGAAAGAGGACAACTGAAGTGACACTGGACAACAAGACAAAGGGGAGTAGGGGCGATGTGCCGGTGTGGGATAAAACAGTCCAGTGGGTTATGGTGACACCCGCATACTAGTAGACTGCGACCAGAGACATTGTTTGAGGTGCGGTGGCCAACGGTTTACAAGCACACGCGCAATGATGTACACACAAGTTGACTCGATCCGGAAAGGACTGCCCGCGGCAGTGGGTACGGGAAAGGCACACGTCTTTCCCGTACCCACTGCCTTCCCCCATTCGCTGCCCTCCCCCGTCTTGGCTTCCCGTTCGTTGAGCTGCCGTTTCTGGAGCTCCCGTTTTTGGAGCTCTCATTTTCAACTTCCTGTTTATGGAGCTCCCAGTTGTGGAGATGCCGTTTATTGGAAGTGCAGTGTAACTGTGTTGTGCCCCTTTTTATTGGGCTCCTGACTTTCGAGCACCTGTTTGTTGAGCTACCGTTAATAATAATAATAATATCTTTATTAGGATGACCCAGAGGCTTGTCGCCTATCAAGGGGTTCACCGCTTCATACAACATCGTGCTCTTCATTTTCTTGTTGTCCTCTTTTTTGCTGTGGTTGGTCGCACCCGTACCCTGGTCCTCTATATGATCTAGTCAAATCAGTTACCTGTCTTGGCATGCTACGAGGTGCATAAGTTAATAGAATAATTAAATTAAAATAAATTATTAGACGAAGTCAACCCACAAAAATCTCCACTCAGTCAGAGAGTGAGAGAGAGAGAGAGAGAGAGAGAGAGAGAGAGAGAGAGAGAGAGAGAGAGAGAGGGAGAGAGAGAGAGAGAGAGAGAGAGAGAGAGAGAGCCCTTTGTCCTTTTGCTACTAGAGTAGTTGTCGTACTGATATTACTTGGATTGGATCGAATGTTTTACTGTTTGCTGGAAATGGAAAAGAATCCACTTTCTGCCCATGCAGCACTGCAGCTTCATCTTTACAAATCTGCTTTGTGCAAAACTACATTAATTTTGTAGGCGAGATCGCACCCAGCATAGGCGCCCAAAAGTGGCTCTCCAAGTCCATTACGAGCACCTTGAGCCATCATCATGGAAGAAAGCAAGGAAGCGAATGAGGTCCAAGTAACCCAGGAATGGGAAAACTCGGCAAGGAGACACGGATGGAAAAGAAAATCTCCTTGCCGAGTTTCCCCATTCCTGGGTTACTTGAACCTCATTCGCTTCCTTGTCAATGAACAATCACGGCATATTCAGTCCGTTCGGTTTGTGAATTCAAATAAACACAACCAATCCAACCAAAGTCGCATTTGAAATGGAGCATGCAGCTCAATAACAAAGATAACGTGGGCGGTATTGCCGTTTGCAATTACCATTTCTGTTTGTTCAATCCCCCACTATCGCCCCTAGCTCGGTACTCTGAATCCGCTTATCCTCACATTTACAACAGGAATAAAAGCGACTAAAGTTCATAGTAATACGAGTGCATACATGTACACGTGATAACACCCCACAAGATGAGATAGAGCGAGGCAGATATCGGTGTAAAATCCCACATCTACATGTAAACGCCCAGGTAAAATCTATGAATAAGCCTGACCTAAGAATGATCATTGTGTTCGCTCTCACCTTCTTTCCGTCAGGAATTCCGATTGACGACAGGATAACGGAGAAGAGCACAGTGCCGAACGCCACGATCAGTGCAATCTCGACGACATCTGACGTGACGGCTGACCGAAATTGCCCATAAAGGGTAGGTCCCGGTGGTGCTCGGAACGCGCTGAACAGGCTGCTATCGATATCAAACATTCCTAAAGTAGTAAAGAGTGGCCTTTTAACTTAAACGGAAACAATCTAGACTACTACCTAGCACTCGTACGGATAAGGATCACATCAACACTCCTTCTCTAAGGGTTGTCTTTCTTGGCCAGACAAAGTCAGAGCTTTCTCAATCCCCGTTGTTTGTGAGAAAGACAATTATAACACGTTCTAAAAATCAAGTCTCCACCATCGATCATGCATCGGTAATGATTCAAATACCCAGCATGTGTGCGTATCCCCAGAATCTGTGTTCGGCAATCGGCATGCATATGTACGTGTACGCCTGACGCTAAAAATAGCATATCTGTGCATAATGCATGTAAAATGTACGGGCATGAAATGCACTGTACAACGTCGTGTATGTGTGTATGTTTGGAGTCAGGGAGTAGTACAATACCATATATATTGTACTACTCCCTGTTTGGAGTCACATCAGGGCCTTGGGGAATCGCGATGAGTTCCAACATGTCGTACTTTCAGTGCTAGAGGATCGTACAGGCGTACGGAAGTTAAGAGGTCGGGGAAACCGGATTTAATGTGCGCCTCTAATTCACACAAATTTACAGAAAACCACTCGATTTTAATGGTAGGATTCTTCCATATCCCACACAATCAACTATCACCCCTCTCTCGCACTTTGCGTGCCAATTGGTCATGGACCACGAGTTGAGCGAAATAAATAAAATAAATAAAATAAACTGAGTTTGAAGCCAAAGTAACTGCCTGTTAAATGACCGAGAAACCAAACAACCTGTCAACTGCATACCTGTAAAAAACACTCTAGCCCTCGGGTGAAGAGAGAGGTCTCAATAAAAAGGCCTCCCGAAGGCATGCATGGACGATATTGCAATGGAGAACAGCCAATGGAGATTGGAGAAGCGAGGATAAAAAGTAGTGGAGCTCCTAAGAGGTACATGTATAGGAGCTGTGATTCGGGAAAACCATTATGGGATGATTATGGGATGATTATGGGATGATTATGGGATGCGGAGACCGTTTTTGGACCAGGCCTGACGCGTACTAGTACTGTCGATTGCAGTGTTCGCCAGCTGCACAGGCCAATGTCGGCGCGGCACAGAAGTATTTTGAGCAATTATTGCTGTGTTGACGTGCAGCATATAATTATGATAATAGTTGCAGTTATTGGGGATTGCCCTATCAAAAATTTAATAATAATAAAGTTTTCTACTCTGGCCTAGGTGCACCTACATGTAGCTATATAGGCTGTCATCACACCACGGTACAGAGCGCTGTGTCGACGTCCACGTAGTGTTTTTGTCGGTTGTCATGATGAAACGTATACGGAATGAAAACGGGAGCAAAGGAACGGGAGACGTAGCTAGACGTAGACATGGTGGGGAGAGGGGGGGGGGGGCGGGGGGAGAGATATACGATTTCTCGTATGAACGTGCGTACCTCCCCCAGCCTTTTTCTTTTTTTTTTTTTTTTTTTGGGTTAGAGTCTACGGCAGGGAGTCGTCAAATACCATATTTGACGACTCCCTGGTCTACGGCTTCGCGTGTTTTTTTTTCTCGAAAAATCAGTACAATTCAGTGAGCATGTCATGAAAATAAACCCGAGAAGAAAGAAAAAAGGCCCAACCAGGGAGTCGTCAAATACGGTATTTGACGACTCCCTGGGCCCAACCCTGCCCTGCCAGTTATTTGGACTTACGGGGGTCGCCATGGCAAATAATAAACATAAAACTGCACACGTTCGGGCTCTCCGCCTTTTCTTTTTTTCCGAGCGACCCTGTACTCGTACTTCGATGTACGTGAGTTCAATTTTCTCCAAAAGCGTGAATGCGCACGGTACGGAGACATAAGACTCACGATCACTTTCTTTTTCTATTTTGCCTTTTTTGAGACATCCCTAAAGAGTCCTATGCATGCAGAACATGTCCATGGACTATGCCCGCGCACATTAGTCGTCATCACATTACGTTCTCCGACTCCCGCGGCTCCATGCGGAGTCATTGGCGGCTCCATGTACATATATGTGGAGTCATTTGGCGGCTCCTAGGATCCTAACGTCTACGTCTATGATAAAAAAAACCCAAAACGGGTGGTCGTGTATAGGTAGCCCTTTCCCAAAGGTGCTCGCCCCTTTTTTCGCCCTTTTTAGCCCTTTTTGGAAAAGCCCGTTTCTTTCGCCCTTTATTGCGTTTTTTGGTGAATATCGCCCTTTTTGAGCTTTTTTTAGCTGAAAACGTGCTAAAATCTGTTTGCTCATGCATATGCATGCGATCACAGTTTCCGAGTGCTCGATGGGCTTGGCACGCCGCTTTTTTTTGGGGGGGGGGGGCAACAAGTTGGTGAAGCTTGTACCCGGTACCCGGTGTACACAATGCTGTAAAAAGTGGGTTTTTTGAACTTTACACAACAAGGTGAATCATTTCCAAACGCGTTGCCAAATGAACAGTTCGCCTACCGCAAGCAGCATTCCTGCGAAGATCTTTTAGCCACGACAACAAACGACTGGCAAGCATGTCTAGACAAGGGCCAATTTGTTGTCGCTGCTTTTCTCGATCTCAGCAAAGCATTTGACACAGTCAATCACGCCTCCGTTCTTAAAGAACTCTTCTCTATTGGTGTCGGTGGCACTGCACTGCAATGGATAGCTAGTTTCCTATGTGGCCGTCGCCAACGAGTAGTCAGGAAGCATCAGGAAGGTGAACAGTACACACCTAGACTAGAGGTTTTTTTTATTATTATTATTTTTTACTTGAAACCACGCACCCAATTCGTAAAAGAAGAAAGAAGCAGGAAATGACAAAACAACAGACTAACAAGACATTGACTGAATGGGGCTGCAAATGCAACGCCGCGGTGGAGATGGGGTGCTGCAGGCTCCGCCGACCAATGGTCTCGGCATCCGCGACTACTTCACGCATCAGAAAATCGGGAGAAGAAGAGAAACAAAAAAAATTGAAAAAATATAGTAGCGAAAAGGTGTACCTCAAGGGTCAACATTGGGTCCTGCCCTTTCTAACCTATCCGTCCGAGCTCTGCCATCATGTACCATCACGAGCAAGATTCGGCAGTTTGCAGACGACGTGTCTATGCAGGCACGAACTTGCAGCAACTCACTGATGATCTCTCTGCTGACATATCTGTCATTAGGCCTGGGCGGATAATGCTAGTTATTTTGCGGGATAATGCTAATGGTAATGCCAGAAAACTGGATCATAAATTAATGCTACTTATAATGCTGCTATTCCTCTGTAATGCCAACAATTCACCATGGAAAATGGCTTGGTTTGGGCAGTATTGTGCACGTTTTGTAGTTCTACGTAGACGTCATGGAAAATGCTAGAAAATCATGAGCATAATGCTAATTTTATGCTGCTGTTGCTCCATAATGCCAGCAAAACCGCAATAGTATGCATGGAAAATGGCTTAGTTTGGACAATGCTATGCATGTTGTGCAGTTCTATGTACAAGGCATGTAACGGTCCATTTTTTGTAGTGGCCCTGGAAACTTCCATGTTTGAGTATAATGCCACTTTTGTGGAAATGTAGTGTTATAATGCTAGCATAATGTTCGTTGCAAATCGCACACTATAATGCTACTTATAATGCTAGCATTATCCGCCCAGGCCTATCTGCCATCAGAGAGTACCTACGTGACCGAGGTCTCAAACGTAATGACTCCAAGACTCAATTTATCATGAAAAGACAAAAAAACAAAATATGTTCCTCCTAACATCTGCCTTCGGCTCAGCGATGTCCTCATATCCCCAACACCAACGGTGAAGTGTCTTGGCCTCACCATTGACGAACATCTATCATTCTCCTCATATGTCACTGAAGTTGAGAAAAAGGTCGGAACAAAACTTGCCATGTTCCGCAAGATCAGGGACAATCTGACACCAGCTGCGAGAAAGACCTTCTACTGCTCATGTATTCAAGCACACCTTGAGTATGGTTCTAATGCGTTCGTACATTGCCTTCACACCACACAACATGATAGACTAACTCGTATTGCTAACCGCGCTGTTAGGATTGTTTTTGGTTTCCCTTGGCACTATGATGTTTCAGTCTTACACACCAGATATGGTCTTGCTCCTATTGCACTGAGCCATCAGCTTAGACTTTGATTTGTACCGGGAATAAATCGCCCTAAACTGTATATTCTTGTCTTTCGGGCCCTGCGTTACATGTGTAGCACTCTGTCCTCTGATTGCTTCTACATTCGTTCTGCCACAACACACACAGCTGCCTGTACACGTTCCCAGTCCATAGATTGACTTGCTCTGCCCAAAGCACGCAATCGTTATGGCTTATTCGCTTTGAGCTTTCTGGCGTCTGACCGCTGGAATTCTCTTCCAGCTGACATTCGCTCTTGCTCCTCGCTTTCAATATTCCGCAAATCTGTACGTGATCACATAGGGTACCCTGTAAAAAGGCCTTAGGCCTGTGGGGATTGCCCTATTCAAAATTTAAATAATAATAAAAATAATAACTTCCTGTTTTCATTTTGTTTTACCTTTCGTGGACCCATAAATGGAAGAGTGCGTATTTATTTCTCGGCTTGCCCAATTGGGTTCATATCTGAACATGTATCATGGCTATGCATCACTGAAAAACGAGCACTTTTTGCCTGTTTTCACTGAAAAAAAGATCACTTTTCAGCATATTTTGAGGGAGGCGAAAAGCACTAAGTGCGAATTAAAAGAGCACCTCTAGAAAAAGGCTAGGCACAGGTCTTGAAGGCATCGTAGAAAAAGTCAAGTGGCCGCGAGGCCTTAAATTAAATGGCTGGCGGCGGACTCGTGCTCTCTTTCTAATCCAGGTTACATTCGATAATAATTTTACAGCTCACGCTACGTACACGTACATGTACATGTAGATGCTCTAAAGCTGTTCAGCTCTAGCACCGCAAACACTGGCCTGTGCACCGAACAGGTCTCTGTGTGTAGCCACGTGGTTGGATTTTAGAAAGTTCATTATGTGCTGGCTGAATCTCCTGCATCCTACTACATGTAGTACCCCCAAGCGAATGACGGGGACAGTTACATGTACATCACTGGCTAGCGAATCGCACTGCACTTCATTCCGTGTTCTTCTTTCCTTCTCAGTAACTGCACTGATGCATGTGAAGTGTTAGGTTTGTCACGGTTGCAGACCGTTGAAAAGTTTTAAGCTAGGTCTTCAAATGACATTACACCTAGATATGGAACTAGG